CGTGTTAACCTTGCACGGATGGCGAGAAGGGCAGGGCGGGGGATTCGGCTCTAGATTGTGTGTGTGGGAGGTTCCCGGATGGGCAGACATTGGTGCCTGTTCCTCCACCCTGCGCTGGTCTGCTGACGCCCTACTGCAGGCGTTTTGAGAAGAAGATGCCGCGTGGCTCCCAAGTCCAGCTTTTCCCAGCACGTTCCACTTTCCCCCTGCAGCAAAATTGTCTTTGCAACATGCCGTCTAACTTGGCAGCCCTTGAGGGCGGAAGCGACCAGCCAGAGGGTGCTCGGCCATCCTTCTTCCTGCTGGCTTCTCCCAGCCTCTGCCTTTCCTTGCTGTTGGAATTCCTGGAATTCCTTTGTCTCCCGCGGGACCCCTCGGAGGTGGGGAGGAGGAAGGGAGTCAAGCGGCCGGGTCTGTTTGTCTGGAGAGGGCATTTCTGCAACTTTTCTAAGCTAGATGCCCAGACAGGCCAGTTTCCAACCGTCTCGGCCCATCCTCCCTGAGGGTGCGGGGTCTGCTGCATTCACACACCGCTTTTCCCACTCCGCTTCACGCAAGCCACCATCTCCGATCTCAGGTCTGCAGAGCGATTTGATTAATGCCCCTTCTTGTTTCCAGGAGTGGAAAGGGGCATATTCCTCTCTCTGTCCTTGCAACAGCCCTGTGAGGTGGGCCAGGCGGGGGGAGAGGGAATGGCTTATGAAAGCTGTGCTGTTCCAGGCCGTGGCCCGTGATGCCACTTTGCCTGCCGTTGCGTCGGTATTCGCGGTGCTCTTTGCGGGAGGCACTCTGACCTCTCGCGCGTAGATTCTTGCAAACTGAACTACTCTGTGGGGTTTAGTGTGTGTCTCGGAGTGCAAGTGCTCTGCTGGATCAGAGTAACAGAAGCGCATTTGACCCAGGTTTCAGCAGAGCCCAAGCAGACGAGCTCCCCCACCAACATCTGGCACTCAGAGGTAGACTGCCATTGAGCAGGGAAGCTCTATTTAACTATGGTGGCTCAGTGCCATAGATCCCACTTGCTGATCTTTAGTCATGCTTCGGTCTGCTACATCATCCCCAGCTAGCTTGGCCTTCTAATTGTCTTTTGTAGGGTGGGGTCCTTCCACCCACCCTGCCTGTCTTGATTCACTGCTGCCCCCCATCCATGTTAGGGATGCGCCGGGATGGCTGGGTAAGGGGACCTGGGAGTGGCTGGCTTCCAACGTCACACTGAGCTGGGGGTGGGCTGGGCGTGGGGTGGCTTTGCCCTCCAGACTAACCCCAAAGGCAGGCAATCCCCCAGCGGCCCCCCCAGTCCCCCAGCCTGTGGGTCTGCCTGCCTTCTCTCCCAGCACCCACCCAGGCAGCAGAAAGGAATGGGGTGAGCCCTCTGGCCCTCGACATCACGTGACCCTGCAGAGGGCAGAAGTGCGGGGTGGGGGGGCTGGCTGCTGTGTCTTAATGGGGAGGTGTTCTCCCCCCCCCCCTTCTTCCTGCACAGGATTACCTGGGCTGCATTATTGACTGCGGACAAGTGTCTCTCAAACCGGAACAAGTGGGCGCTTTGTTTTGCAACATCGAAGATATTTATGAGTTCAACAGGTGAGACGTGGCATCTCTTTGCTCAGGCTGGGGAGGGGGAGCCGGTCTCTGGTCCAGAGCGGTGCAAATGTTAATGAAGGTCTTCCAGGGCCTCCGGGGAAAGGCCTGGCCCCAATCTTGCGTTCTTTTGAATGCCAGACAGTCGCCCCCCGCCCCCCCCCCTGCTCATCTCGCTTCCCCACGGCCGCGG